ATGACTATGTTACCTTTTTGTTGCTCCTAGACTTGGGGAAAAGCTTTAAATATCCCACTGGTAAGTGTTAATACTTGCTACATATTATAGATTATATGTTGGGAGTAGCCTTTTCTATAATAAAGACAGTTCATCCTCAGCTCTAGTTTGCTAATGAACTTCATATGTGGAAATACTGAATTGAAATTCATCAAATGCTTTACTGAATTGGAGGGGGTCCCTGGGTTTTTTCTTCTTATGGCAATGTTGTAATTTATAGTAATAGATTTCTAAATTTAAACAAGCCTTGCAGCTGGATCACATCTATCTAGAGCTTCACACATTGTATTTTTCTTGATCACAGGGCTTTAAACAGCAAAGTAAAGGGCATCTCAAAGCATTTAAGTTTTATTATGAGCTTTTCTTCTTAAATCATAGATTGGCAATGACTTCTAACAAATGTCTCAAACCTGTTATGCTTTATCTATTATTGTATATTTCATTGTGGCTTTTTCCTTAGCTTGTGCAGAGTTTTAAATATTAAACATTACTAGACTTGGCACTTTATTCAGAAATTTTACACCGACATGCAAGAGAGACACTTTTACCTTCCCTGTCTTGCTCTCTCCTCATCTTGTTCTGGCTTCTGTTTTCTAACAATAACATGTCCTCTCCACTGTCTTGTCTCTTAATAAGCGAGTTTATATATACAAAGTATAGTGATAAAAATACCATAAAATTATCTTGGGCCAGTGTTAGGAGATTCTTCTGAAGATGATTTTTAATAGTTCTAGGATGGGGTGAGATGGCTCAGCAGATAGAGGCACCTGCTGTCGTCAAACCCAGTGGCCTGACTTCAATCCCCAGAACCCATATGGTGGAAGGAGAAAACTGACTCCGCAAGTTGTCCTCTCATCTCCATGCTTGTAAGGTAGCATGCACATGTGCCTACCATCCGCACCAAAGAAATAAATGTGAAAATTTCAAAAAGAGATTTTTCAGGTGATAAAAACTATGTCTTCTGGGTCTGATTTAATGGCTTATATTTCCCAGAGAATTATTCTATTGCTTTCATTTCAAAGCTGCTGACAGTAAAGAACCGATATTCTTTTATGATTTATTTTAAATATCAACATTGTAACTTTGTTCAATTTGCTTGCATCTGTTCTCCCCCACCCCAGATTCTACTTTCAAGTTGAACTTATTTTATTAAGTCTTTTCAAAAGACTGGCCAGCTGTATTGTACTCTGTTTTATCTTTAAAACTGTTTATTTCTAGAGAAGGGATCTTGCTATGTTGCCCAGGCTGGCCTTGAACATAGACTCAAGAGGCTCTTAGCCTTCCAAGCAGCTGGCCCTGCAGATGTGCACCATCACACTCTACCTGCTCTTGAATACTACAACACTGTTTTCTGTTCTCACTTTAGGATCTCTTCCTATGTCATTGACTCCTACTGCTCTTAAGATTAAATTTTATTCTCTCTTCTTTTTGAGACAGGATCTTCCTATGTAGTCCTAGCTGGACTATGTAGTCCTAGTTGTCTGGAACTCACTATGTAGACCAGGCTGGCCTCAAACTCACAGAGAGCCACCTGTCTCTGCCTCATGAGTGCTGGAATGAAAGGCATACACTACCATGCCCAGTCTCCTTTTTTTCATTGAAAAACACAAGTTCCTTGAATATTCCACAGGCAAAGATACCCAGTGATTATGTGTGCTATTTCTATTTTATTCCTAACTTCTACCATTTCTGATGTTAGGTAAAGACAGCAATGATTCTATTTGCTATTTGCATTGTGTTCCTAACTTTTCCCATTTCTACCATTCTACTGTGAGTAGGCACACCCACTCCTTGCAATTCACTGAGACTTGACTAAGATCTAGCTCATTCCAATCTGCCTAAATTTCTCACACACACTAGATGAAAACATGTGTTCTCTAGGTGGCAGATGAAGCAGTCAATCTATTCCATGAAATCAATGCTATCAGATTTTCATTTGGCTGATCCCTGCCTGCTTGGATGATCAATTACTTAAAGTGATGCTAACATTTCCTCCTATGCTAGCAGATCCTGTAATTTTCTCCTGCATCACTTTGTGCTTGTACATTGAGACCTTTAAAGCATATATATATTTTCAACCTTCTTTTAGGAAAGTATCCCTCTTTTCTTAAATAGTGCTTTTTATTTTAGAGTCTATTTTGTTTGATATTAGGGTAGAAGTCAGGTTTTTTTCAATTCCTAGTTACCTTAATGATTATTCTTCCTTATATGTTTTGTCCTTTTTAAAAATAGCTCAATCAGTTATTTTTATTTAAGTGTTCAGTGGTTTAATTGGTTTTTTTTTTTTTTTTTTTTGGTTTTTCGAGACAGGGTTTCTCTGTGTAGCTTTGCGCCTTTCCTGGAACTCGCTTTGGAGACCAGGCTGGCCTCGAACTCACAGAGATCCGCCTGGCTCTGCCTCCCGAGTGCTGGGATTAAAGGCGTGCGCCACCACCGCCCGGCTTGTTTTTATCAATTTTAGAACCAACAAACATTAGGGATGCCTTTTTTCCTTCTGTGTGTCTTAGTCCTTCATTACTAAGATTTGAAGTCTCTCTGTGCTCATATATCTATCTTTTGTTCTCACTGCTGGTTGGGGCTCTAGACAGTATGAACACTCTACACTTACCTATTTATTTTTAAAATTCATTTTTGAGACAGTGTTTCACTTACATAGCCCAGGTTGGCCTTCAACTCACAACTCTCCTGAGTCAGCCTTCTGCTTACAGGTGTGCACTACCAGGTGGGCCTAAGTTCTACTGTAAGAAAGGTTAGTCTGTGTGTATTATAGCCAAATGGTTTGCTTTGCTAACCAAAGTAATATTATCAGTATCATTTTATAACCCCCATATAGATATGCACACATTTCTTTTGGGAAGGAAAAAAGGTGTATAACTACTAAAAAGTATAACACATGCTTTTCAATGATATAGCCAATCTGTTCATCATATGGTAGCCTATGCAATCCTTGTGCAAACAAGTAGGAACTACTATCCTGTGCTTGTTAAACTGAGAAAGCCTGGTTACCTACATGCACTATCATTGATTTAGGTCTTCTTTCCCATATATATTTTTTTTTTTTTGGTTTTTCGAGACAGGGTTTCTCTGTGTAGCTTTGTGCCTTTCCTGGAACTCACTCTGTAGACTAGGCTGGCCTCGAACTCACAGAGATCCACCTGGCTCTGCCTCCCGAGTGCTGGGATTAAAGGCGTGTGCCACCACCGCCTGGCCTTTCCTGTATTTTCACGCCAAGTGTCCTAACTGTTGCTGGGATACAGGATACCAGGTTTATACTTTTACCTAAACTCTCCTAAGGACTAAACATGTCCTGAAGGTTGTTCCAGGCTTTGTGTTCCTTTGCTCATATCATTATTCTGGCATGACTCTGGAGAGTCTGGTTTAGTGTCTCTATCAGCAGGACTAGGCAGCTCATAGCACTGGGGTAACTCTACCCTGTAGTCCCCCTCCCATGACTCTAATGGACTGGTTCCGAACAAAGGCTGCCTCGGAACCCTGAGCAGCAGTGCACACACTTCACTGGTGGATACTTGTACCTGCCCGCCTAAGCACATTGGCTGTGCAATACCTCCTCTCCAGACTCTGGTATGGAGAGTTCTTCCTCCCTCTGTGTGGCTCACCCTAGGAGCTATCTGGAGCTTCAGTATGCTTGGTAGTGAACTCCTTGCTCCAGATCTTTCAATTCTGGAATGCTTTTCACTTTTCCTAGCATTGCCATAGACTGAGATCTTCTGTAACTTCCTGTCTGCTCACTGGAATTGGGAAAGGAAACTCCTAACCCATTTCCTCAGTCTAGTTTCCTGAAGCAGAAACCTCTATGTCCTAAGTGAGTCATTTGTACTTACAAGCACCATCCATCCTTTCTTGATTTTCTCCACCTGGTACTGTACTGAAATCCAAATAAAAATCCCCAAACCGGACCCTGGGTTACACTAAACTTCCAAATTCTCCATGGGAGCCAATACCTACAGAATCCGGAGTTCATATTTATCAAATGGTTAGTTACATTTCTTAGGAATGTCACTTTTTCCACACACCCATCCAGGTCCTTAGGTTCATATCCACAGTTTGATAAAAGCATGTTACCATGAATAGGAGCTTTATTTTCACCTACACCTAAAGGGCTGTTTTGAGTATTTTAACCAGCAACCTGCCATTTTGCTGATTTAATATTTTAATTAGTTTTCAGTTGACCACCTTGGTTGTCACATTTGTAAATATGTGTTCTTTCCTGATTATACACCTACTTCTACGTCTTATCTTTTTGCAAATGGGAATCATTTTATAACAATGTAAAATAATGTTATGAGTGTCAAGTCTAACTACAAACTAATACTAATCACAGGTGATGTTGAATGTTGTGTTGGGGACATATTTTATTTAATTATGCTATGTATGTTGCTTTTATTTCTAGTTCACTAACACTAGAAATTTAAATCATTATCTTTTATTTATTGCATTATAAATTAAGAATTCTGTAACAGAAAAAAATACCAAATAAGGACAAAATAAAAATGGAGCTACAGCCCTGTCTCGAAAAAACAAACAAACAAAAAACAAAAAATGGGAGCTACAGAATGGGATAAATAGATGTAGTAATCTTTACAGGAGAGTGCTATTGTTTATAAAACTTCTAACAACTCAAGGATCATCCTACAATAAACAAATACACATTTTGCTCTTCAGCCACTAAAGAGGTATGTAGTAGCTGTGAGAAAAAATGTGAGATTCTATAAAATTCAAAATACAAAAATAAGTCACTTAAAGCTACAGCAAAGTAACATTTCACTAGCTGTCAAGATAGTGAAGGTATGAAAGGATGGAGATTCATCATTTAAACAGCTTTCAAGAAATGGGTCTAGAAACCTACAAATCCAGCACTCAGTTATGACACATATCATGTGTAAACAGAGTATTTCTGATGTTATCTGGTCCACTGAAAGACAAACAGAAGTGAACAGTACCTGTTTTGTCTGTCAGTAAGTACACCAAGCGTCCAAGTTCCTCTGGTATTGTGCTGGTCCGAACAACTGTCCCAGGAATATTCTCATCTTTCATAATCATCCATCCATATGCTGCTTTGCCCATGTCCAAGTTTACCCGCAGACTGCCAAGTGAAACCATCATGATGGTCAGTGAGTCCAGACCTATATAACAGTCCACGCTCAATGGACTTACACACATACTTTAGTTTTTATAGAAATAAATAACACTGGATTTCAGACTTTAAAATAAATATTTAAGTGAACACATGATTTTATACTCTAGATAATGTTTACAGGTAATAGTTGGGTGGATAATTCCTTTCATATGAGTTACAGTATGAGTTACAAGAGAAGCAGGCAAGTGGTTCTAAGTAGCCCATTAACACACAGAGTACTGTGGGCATAAAGAGGAAAACACATATGCTTAAGATTACTGTGAGAAAATATGTGAAAAGGGTCTTGAGGCATCTGGAATAGGCACTTTGCTTCTTACTGATTTTTTAAAAAATATTTCATGTTTTTTAATATTACCTATTTCAAATCTGTATGTAACAGACTATAATAGATGGTCTCTGGAATGTCTTCCAAGCTTTAATTAAAGGGTGGCGATATAAGAACATACTCTAAAACTGCCCACTGGAGGAAATAGTCTCAGCACACCAATTATGTGCCAACTCAAACATGTTCATCTCTCTCTCACCATGGAAACTCAGCAGACAGCCATGGGGATGAAAGTGCTATTCATCAACCATTTATGACCTATCAGCATGGTAATTCATATGGTTCAACCTATTAATAAATACACCTTTGAAAAACAATATTCAGGAATCAGTCAACAGCAAATGTATAAATTAAGAAGCATCAAACTAGCATAACTTCATTAATTCATATGTAGGGTTCCCACCTTAAAAATCACAGGAATGACCTGAGTTGGAAGGAAAACTGGTAACTGGCGTTACCTGTGCATCTCTCTCCAGCCAGCACCTCCCCATCTCTTGGCTACTCACAGCCTTGTTAAGAGTGAAGCAAACTAACAGGTGGCGATAGTCCTTAAGCAGGAGGGGTAGAAAACGGCATTCCTGGAAGGGCCGGCGGCCCAGTGTAGGTCTGCCACTGTGTGGGGCTGCAGCCCAGGATCCGGGAGAAGCTGCTGAGTTAGTCAATGCTAAGTATCAAGCAGTGTGAGGGACACTGTGTCAACAGTGTGAAATCACAACACCCTTCCAGGTGGATTTAGGATGAAGGGGGCATTTGAAGAAGAAATGCAAAAAACATTTTCCCATAGATTCTGATTTGATTTGGGCTTTCAAACAGATTCTCCATGAGTAAGAGAGATAAAGTAACCATAGGCCCTTGTTGAAATAAACAGGCAGAAGTCGGGGAAGAACTGAGCCGGTAAAGTGGGCCAGTATGGGAAGACACCCCCAAAACACAGCAGGGAGATTAGACAGCTGTCTAAGTTTTCATAGCTCTCATCACTTGGCTCAGAGCCCTGCATACTAGAAAAACATGGTCATCTGCCTGTGTGTTGGTTCTTTTAGATTTGGTCAAGGTTTTGGAAAATGTCACCCTGCATTGTTTTCTGTCCTCAGCTTACAGTCTGTCACCAGGCTCAGGGTGTCAAGAACCAAAGAAGCTCACTGAGATTCTTATGTGCACTGTTCTTTTCAAACCATGAACAATTTATGTTGTTGAAGAGTTATAAGAATGTATTAGTTCACAGAATATCATATTGTAAGTAATTACTCCTGGGCCATTTAAAGTTGAATACAAACATCCCTCGAAGAACATACAGAACAGTAGTTGCTCGTGGCAGAGGAGAATGAATACCTTTTACAGGATAAAAAGGTGCAAGGGGCATGGAACACAAATCATCACCAAAAATGACCCAGTAAAATGTCTCAAATAGGACAACACTCCCACACAGGGAATTACAGCTCCACATGTGCCATGACTCCTGTTGTGAATTTGGTCAAATGTTAAAGGAATAATTTGCTTTTAATGCTAAGCCTCTAAGGCACTCACACTCTATGGTAGCAGAATAATGACTGTCACTACACTGACTTTACTTAGTAACGTCCTGACTATACAGACCTTTATCTAGGGAGGTGCCAACTCTGACAAGCTGTGTAATCTATGAATCATGTGATTACAGAAACATGTTAGATGGTAGCAGATACCAGATGCATTGCCAAGTCCATTCTACTGCTGACTTAGCAACTGTGACCCTGTTTGTCACAGACCTATTCCAGGTAAAACGTGGTGATTTGTCTTCAGATGGTTCACTGAGCCAGGGCACAACCATGACTCTACTATCATATAGTAGGAAAAATGAATCACCTCAGACGACTAGTAGTTTTTCAGAGATGTTGCCAACAGGAACGTATATGAAAATGTTTATTTTTGTAATTGTAGGAAATGTGGGGTGGATTTCAAGATGTAAGACTGCCTTCATGACAACTTATTTTTGTTCAAACAGTCTAATCCCACAGCTACAAATACCTGAAGAAGAAACTCAGAGTCTGAATAAATTTCAAGTGCATTTTTCCCAAAATACACAATACAGTTCCATTTAGGCCCCAGGATGCTTGCTATATTTAAGCTCTAATTTGTTACAATTAAACCTCAGCACCTATCACTGCCAGGTGAGCCTGTCCCCAGCCCACCTGAGAAACACACGCAATTCTCCTTGGGGAACAAATCTACCTGAAATAATTCACATGCCAATTCTAATCTGAGCAAAAAAAAAAAGGAAGCCACTTTCATCAGAACTTTTACCAAATGTAATCAAAACCATTTCCTATAAAAGCTAAGAACTGCCACATACAACAATAACAGAGCTAATGTTGTCATCTCAGGACCAGTTGAGTACCTTCCTGGGCTTTGGGCCAGCACTGCTGCCTGAGGGACCTCTAACCTTAGATGAATCAAAATACCTGTGAATGACTCCTCACTTTGCGCTCAAAGTGCTCTACTACAAGCTATATCCATAGTCACTGGCTATATCTCCAGTGTTAGTCAGGGTCTCTCTAAATGGCCTGGCTAGACTTGAATTTGCTTTATATCTTAGGTAGGTCTTGAACTCTTTATCCTCCTGTCTCAGCTTCCTGAGTAGCTAAACTGTTAGAATTACAGACCTGTGCCACCAAGCCCAGCTAAATGTGTAGTCCAGGTCTAGAGCTTGAAACCCTGCATCACCGTTTCCAGCAATCTGCCTACTAGCAAATGTCAACCTGGACCAACCTTTCTGCTTAATGTGTATGTTCTAGTTAGCATGACCTCCTGCCAACTCATCCTCCTAAAATTCTGGCAACTGTCTTCTATGCTCTAGGTGGAGGAAGTCAGGCTAACATGTTTGATGGTAGCTGTCACTTGCATCAGTTTCTAACTTTAACATATGTCAGTTCTGTGATCTCTTACTAAAGACTGACTTGATTCCAGTGATTGAGCAAGGTTTCAAAGGAAAGACCACCTTAGGTCAAGCAGGATGGCTCAGTGGGTAAAAGTCGTTGTAGTGTAAGCCTGGCACCTGAATTAGATCCCTAGGACCCATGGTGGAAGGAGAAAGCCAATTCCCACAAGCAGTTTCCTGACTTCCACACACAGACCAGGGCATGCAGAATCCAACAAATAAATGCACTGTTCAAAGGTTTTACAAGGACCACAATCCAACTAAAAGTCCACTGAGACAATAAATGTATTTGCAAACATAAGACACTAATCATTCAAATACTAAAATTCAAATTGACACAGAAAAATGAGGCCAGCAAGAGTCCAGCGCAAAGGGCACAAAGAAGCAAAGGCATGTGCTTTGTGTGCTATTTTATGTACAGCCATTCTTCTACTCCACCCCAGGGGACACTAGGAACCACAGACTAGACCAGCTCTAGGTATGTTATATTTCTTCTGATATGTAATATCTACTGAAATGAGTTTATAAACTAGCCACAGTATGTAACAATAACAATGAAATATAACTATAACAATATATTATAATAAAAGTAACATGAATGTGGTCTTTTTCAAAATGTTTTACTGAGCACTTAAATTTTTAGAGCACAGTTGACCATGGTAAGTGAAACTAAACTGTAGAAAGTGAAGGTAAGTGCAAGTGGGGCTGATGACTAACTTCACTGAATGAAGAAAGGAAACTAAAGGTAGGCAGGTAGAGTTCTGCTCCAGGCACAACAGTTCGTGTGTGCCCAAGAGTGCAAACTCTTAGCCTGAGATCTCCGCCTCAGATGCGTTAAGAGCTTTCAGGAAGCAGGTTGATTGTGCTGTGGGATAATCCTTCTGTACACTGTGTCACTCAGACTGGTTTAATAAAAAGCTGATTGGTAGTTAGCCAGGCAGAAATTATAGGCAGGACAACCAAACTATAGGAGAATGATGGAAAGAAGGGAGGAGTGAGAGAAACCACCAACCAGCATGCTGCTGAGGAAGCAGTATGCACAGAAAATGAGGAAATAAGCCATGAGCCACGTGGCAAAGCATAGATAATATGAGTTAATTTAAATGTAAGAGTTAGCTAGTAACAAGCCTGAGCTATCAGCCAAGCATTAATAATTTATATTAAGCCTCCAAGTCAGTTATTGGGAAGTGACTGCCAGTTGTTTGGGAGCATGCAGTTGGGAATGGAAAACTCTACCTACATGACTGTGTTTTGTTTCTGTAACTTCTTCGAAGCTGGGAATTGACTGGCAAATCAACCACACAGACTTAAGTGGAGCCTTGGCAGCCTGTATAAACATTCAGTTAAGTTTTGTACATCCAAAAGAGATGTGTGAGGTCAAGATGTCCACCACCCTTGGGAAGTTCCTACAGGTGACCCTTAACAGTTCACACCTTCCTATACTATCTCACCTAAAACCACCGAGTTGTTTGGTCGTTTCAATTTTGCAACTATATGAAGTAATCATACAATGTATAGCTTTTGACTTTGAGCTTTTACACTCAACATAGCTGTCAACCTGCTATGGCATGAATATTTTTGTCCTTTTTCCTTATAATTTATTTTTAAGGCAAAAATATGCGAGTCATGTATATTTTATATGCCAATGATAATCAAAATTAAATTGAAGTATATTACTCACAATGGCAAAAAACTATAAAATGTTTAGAG